CTTCCGATCCAGGAAAATGCACTTTCAGTAGCCGAGAACTTGGCTAATCCGTTTTTCATGTTGCCGAAACCTAGCGTATTGTAGTCGACGTATGTGAGATCTCCGCTGCATCTGGTACCATTAAAGCGCAAAGTGTTAGATATTCTAACGCATGGCCCACAAGTCATTCTACTGTTTTTTTTTAAATATCTGATATGAGCCAGCAAAATGAATCAAAAATTGTTCTTTCGAGTTTTACTTGAAAGTTTGATTTTGATTCATATAGGAAAACCTGTCAAAAGGCTTTCAGTTCAAGTAATATTTTGTCAAGTTTTAATCTCATAGATATTATGGCAAAGGTTTGCTGTTGCCGATATTATTGATTTTTCGCAAAATTCAAAAAACAGGAATTAGATCCCTGCGCAAATCTCAATATATGAACATATATGTGCAAGTAGTTAGCAATTCTAGGTTTTTAGGAAAAATTAAATCTATTTCTTGCAAATCACAGAGAAATATGAGATCACACTTGTGTTTCATATCATATTGCTCAAAGGTTGATTAACCGAGTTTAACAAAAGATTGCTCATAGTTATCACCACGAATCTAAAACTTTCTGGAAATCCACATGAAAATAATTCTTGCCAAGTGCGTTACCCAGTAATCACTTAAATTTAACCATGAAGTTTCGCAAAATCCATGATCCCTGCAAAGCAATAGACTCAAGCCTCTCGCCAAAATTATGCAAGCTTATTTATTTTATTGAACAGACATTTTTAATTCCTGTAGTCGAATGTAGAAAAGGCAACTAATGGTTTTGAACAAGGTAACATGTATGATGTGAAATTGAGAAAAGTTGTATTTCCCGTGGACTGCTGTCTGTAACGTCGTTACTTTTCATGTAGGTATTCTTTTCGGACCTCCGTTGCTGAATCAGGGCATGGGCTTGAAAGAGCCTCATCATGCTAATCTCAGCATTAAACCGCTGAGAAACTAGGCTGACTAAATCCATTACTATTGTACAGGCGTCAGGCTCATCCTCATCTTGCTAGTTATCTCCTAGCACCCAAAGGAAATGTCTCAGGCCACCAAACATCCGGGTCTCCTTACTTCATAAGACTCATTATTTTATGTTCAAATAGTTCAACACATTTACTTCTGACTCAGATCATTTCGTAGATTTATAAAACTCCCTAAAACATAAAGTCTAAAAAGTAATCGGCGGTTTAGGTGAGCGCAGAAAGCAAGGGGTAGTTAAAGTAGATCAGATGATCAGATCGCTGGGGCAAAATCTTTATTCGTCTGAAGTTTTGAATTCCGTCGCGGATGCGTCACTAAAAACAAGAGATCTGTTTCTGTTATCCTCTCTGATGATGCATCCGCGATGGAATCTGAAACGTCAGACGAATAAAATTCTTGTCTCGGCATCTGCTGCTACTCGACTACGTTCTGAGACCTGCATTTTCGCCTATATTGGTAGATTGCTATTGTAGTCGTCAACTCAATAGGCTTAAATTCTTTATGACAAGATACATTTCTTGAGTCTTTAGGAAAAATGACCCCTTCCCCGCCCCCCACTGACAGGCATAAAAACACGAACTACCCGTACTACAGGTGACTTAACGTTAAATTCCAGAAAAATATGGTTAGGGTTAAGCATAGCATGAGTTTTATTATTCAGACTGTGGTAGTTGAATATTAAATTCTGATTAAATTAAGTGCGACTACACTGGTATTGCCTGGGGCGTCCATTCACCCGTGTCCTGTCCGGTGGGCGCATTAACATGTTGTGACTAACTCGCATCGAAGTGCACTTTCCCAAAGGCCCACCGATGCGGTTTTCGACGTCTGGATCAGCCAATCACAGTTCCCGCATAGATGCCTTTTGGGCCGGCGACGAATAGCAAGACTGCACGCGTGAACACTTGCTATCTGGCCCGCGGGGATTTCCTGCAACTATGCCGGACTTCAGATCACGCCGCCCCAGCGGAACGTCGTGCTTTCCGTAGTCAAATCTCTTTCGTTCCTCTGTGTACACAATATATTGTTCCTTCTAATCTGGCCTCTACCGACTTCTCCTCTACCAAATAACCATGGTCTGAAGATCGTAGTTGCTAGGGTTTAACCTACTTAAACCCCTGCGATAAACACACTACTCCAATCGAAGTCTCATCCATGCGTTAGGGCTGGTTAGAGGAAGACAGTTAATCGATTCTTACCCACGCCGTGCTGCGACTGGTAAAGTAGAAGGACGAGTACCAGGACATCTGAGATACAAGATAGCAGATGATAATCCCCGGGGATTTTCGGCCTCCGTCTCTGTAGAGTTCCTCATTTTTCTCCTAAAGAAAGTGAATAAAAATTTAGAGTTCTTTAGGCTGTCATTCGATGATAAAAAAGAATGCTCAGTTAAGTATCGACAACTTCCAAGGCCGTATGCGACCGTATCCCCCAGAAAGATGAATAAACAGGGGGGAGGGGCGGATTGTTGTAACCCACAAGCTTGATAGGTCAACGACTGTTTTCAAGGTTGTGTTCTGCCACACAGGCGTGACATTCATCGAGTCCATGCGACATGCGTAAAGATAGGCAGTAGAAGGCTTCCAGTTTAGAAGCCTTTATTTCACATGTGAACAACAGCCGTATCCTCGGAATATACTTGATATCGTTGCGTGGCATACCTGTGCTGGTATCGGTATAAGGAACTTTTTTTTAAACCGAAAGATGCCCTTTCTTTAAGTATAAAATTTAAAGAA